AGCTTGAGGGAAGGCGCAGGGCGGTTTCTTCCCGCTCTGCGGAGCAAGCGGCTGCTTTTCCTCTGATTTCAGTGAGGAAACCACTTAAAAATGTGTGAAGGAGGCCCCGGCAGCACTGCGCTTGAGGGGCTGTGAGGAAAGCCTGGCAGAAAGGGAGAGCTTGCTGGGGATGTGCGGCAGCGTTGGCTGTTAGAGTTGTTGCCTTTTCCCGGCACCCACGGGGAGTTGTGTAACCCAGTAAGTTACAAATGAGCAGCAGAGTGAGATGACTGCGTTTGTCTTCGAATGATGAGTATTGATTGGCGCGGTTTGTCGGATTCCTGAAGTACAGCAGTGTCAGGAAAAATCCCTGACCCGATGCCTCACTGTGCTACCCTGCGTTCTCCCTGTCGTGTCTCGGTTGTGCGCAGGTTGGTTAATTCCAGGAATCTCAACTTGGGCAGACATATGTCTAAAAACAACAGCAAAGTCTCTTTTTGCTCTCCCCACCCTTTGGCCACCAGGTTACTGGGGGTGTGCAGGGGAATTGAGTTGAAGAAGGTATTTTGGTTTTGATTTGAAGAGGATTAAAACATGGTTGTGTTTTTCTTTAGTCTCAGATTTCTGTGTAGAGGGGTAAACTGTCTGGATTTAAATTCTTTTTTTGGCTGTGAGTAGGAGTTTCCAGCAGGTTAAACAAATTTTTAGGAAAACGGGGGTTTTGTCACAGTGGAAGGTGAATATTTGTGATGCCACTTGAAGAAAGCATCTGTTAGCTAAGGTATTTTGATGATCAGATGTTGAAACTGAACGTCAATGACTATGACTTCCTAACAAAAATAAGGGTGGAAGGAAAGTAATATTCATATTTTTAGTAGAAGATGGACGCTTCTGGTCTCTTCCTTCCGCAGCTGTCTGCAGGGAGCCTGCAGCTCACTCTCTACCAGTATAAAACGTGTCCTTTCTGCAGCAAAGTCCGAGCTTTCCTTGATTATCATGGACTGCCCTATGAAATAGTGGAAGTGAACCCGATAATGAGGAAAGAGATCAAATTCTCTTCCTACAGAAAGGTGCCTATCCTGCTAGCCAATGCTGGAAGCCCTCTGGTAAGTCTCACTGTGTTGAAAGCTTCATTGCCCCACAAGCAGTGGTTTGGAGGCTTGTCTCTGTCACGTCTGTGTGGTTTATCACATGCAGTGTAATCTTTTGATCATCTTTTATTCTCTCAAGAGCCTGAGATTTGTTTCTTGCTTCGTGGTTGTCTGTGCCTTGGCCTTATGAGAGTTTTTTGTTTGTCTTTCTTACAAGGCATGTTGTTTGTGCAGTGACTCTGTAATTCAGTGGTTATCTAGCTTCTATCAGCCCTCATGCAGGACATATAATTTGTACCCGCGATAACAGGAACTGCTTACATCTTGTGGGAAAAGAATGTGATCTCAAGAATACTGAAGATTCAGCTTGGCTTTTTTTTTTAAATGTTAGCATTATTTTTTCTTTTTCACTGCCAAGAGCTTAAATCTGAAAGCCGCTAGTATTGCCTGTGCGCCCGGCCCTCAGGTCCTTTGTTGTCAGAATGAAAGACAGATTTGAAGGGATATTCTGAAACAATCACAGAAGAGATCTGCGTGTAGGGCTGTCTTTAGATGTGCAAGGTCTCCTGTGGAAATGCCTGGGAGGAAAAGGGACTGCAGTACTAACTTGGAGCCTCGGCATGCAGGGGAAAAGCTTTTGAAGAATTTCCTTTTCAGTTTCACCAAGCTCTTTTAAAAGTTTCTCTTAATTCTGTTTTTCAGCAATTGAATGACTCTTCGGTGATCATCAGTGCAATAAAGACCTATCTGATTTCCAAGTAAGAAAACAGGATGATGGGAGAAGAGTTGAATGTGAATAGCCCTAGCGAACTAGAGATTGAGAAGACTCGGAGTCGGTCACAAGTATCTTGCTGACCTTGGTCTCTGCAGCTCTGGGTGTTTGGCCCAGCATACCTGACCCTGGCTGTGATGGTGTGGATAGTGACTGCATACGTTGTGAAGTGTTTGCAGCAAAGCAAAGTTTTACCTTTCAGAGCTACTCTTTCTTACCTGTCAGATTATCTTTGCACAAAGCATGCTTGAACGTGGACTAGTGTTAGTTCTGGAACTAAGGTTGCATTCAGCCAGTTACAAGCATCTAGAATGAAATGAAATTGCTGTGCCTGTGGCCTGTCCTTTAGGTCTGTGCTACAAAGCACTTGAGAATGGCAGGTAGTTTTATGCCTGCAAAAATTTCTATTCTGATGCAGACAAAGGTATGTACACTAATAATAGTTATTTGCAAGTAGCTGTTCCAGGCTCTCTTCAAAACTTATTTCAAATTGAATTTGGAACCTTGTGCACTTATTTTTAGAACAGTACATTTTAAAGTGTGTATCTTTCGATCTGTCCACGTTTTTGTAGCAGCCAGATCAGGTGCTAACTGTGTTTCCCTCCGTAGGAGGAATAGCTTAGAAGAGATTGTGTCATTTTATCCTCCTATGAAAACAGTGACCGAGCAAGGCAAGGAGGTATTTGAATATGGGAATAAATACTGGCTCATGCTGGATGAGAAGGAGACAAAGCGAATCTATCCTGTCAAAGAAGTGAGAGTGTAAGTGCTCTTAAATTTCTGGGCTCTCCAGGTAGGGTCACAGTCTCTTCCAGATATACTCGAGAATGGTGCATATATGAAATCCCGCTGGTGCAAATCCTGTCACACTCCCCTTGGTGTTTATAACCTTGGTAATTGGAGTGGTTTTACTGTGTTTCTTACATAATTTGAAACAACACTGTTAGATGGTCTAGTTCCCACTGTTGTGGTTGTGCTAGCCTGCAGTTGTCTCCAGTTTTCTTCTTGGCCTTTCCTTTATGTTGCAAGGGAATGCTACAGAGTGCTGTTTCCCCTTTCTGCTTTAGCTCTCGTGTTGGGAGGAGAAGCTAGTGCTCTATCTTAGTCTTAATTTTAGTTTGAGATTGGAGGAGCCATGCCAAAGATAATGATCCTGAGCACATTTCAGAGAGGTCACCAGACCCCAAGGCTGCGCACGAGTTTCTGACACATTTGTCCTTGGCAGAACCACTGGCTAATGCCGCTGTGATTCTGCCTGTCTCCCATAGCCCTGCAATCTGTACCTCATTCACCGACAAGTCTCTTCTGAATGCTTGCAGGGAAGAAATGAAGTGGAGAAAATGGGCAGACGATTGGCTTGTTCACCTCATCTCCCCCAATGTTTACCGTACCCCCAGAGAGGCCTTGGCATCTTTTGATTACATTGTCCGTGAAGGGAAGTTTGGCACTGTGGAAGGCTTCTTTGCCAAGTACATGGGGGCTATTGCCATGTTCTTCATTAGCAAGAGGCTGAAGAAAAGGTTGGTACCACCGAGCCCAAGTACACAAGAGTAGCAGCTCTTTAATGTCCTTAGCTGTGAACCCCAGATGTCAAAGGGCAGAACCTCAGTGTTGTAAAGCAAACCTCAGTGTTTTAATCCAATGTGAGTAACAGCTGGTACTTCTTTAACTGGAGGTACTGAACCCCTCTACTCATCTACTATTTAACCGCTAACTGCCCCCTTCACTCTCAAATACCTTCCTAATGCCCAGGCAAAGACCAGCTCATAAGATTAGAGATGATAGAAGATTAGAGAAAGGAACAAACCACTGTCTCCAAATCACTTCTTCTCTTTATCCAGACATCACCTTCAAGATAATGTCCGAGAAGACTTGTATGAAGCAGTTAATGAGTGGGTAAAAGCTGTTGGCAAACATCGACTGTTCATGGGTGGAAACCAGCCGAACCTTGCTGACTTGGTAAGGGATTAATTCCTGCCTTTGTTAGGCGTATTACAAATCATTTGGTTGCTCATCTGTTTGAAATGGTTAATACAGATGTAGTCAGAGGGGTGGTGGAGTAGATGGCAGGACAGGGAAGGAGCCTTGCTGGCTAGGCTGTTGAGACACTCATTGGTGCCCTAAGCACTGCTGACCCTTTCAGTGTTGTTCTTCTCTTTATGCTCTGGCACAGGCAGTGTACGGGGTCCTCCGAGTCATGGAAGGGCTGGAAGCCTTTGACGACATGATGGTTCACACCAAGATTCAGCCTTGGTACCAGCGCATGGAAGAAGTCATTCAAAAAGCTGAAGCTGCAGTCTGATGCCAGCGGCAGCTGCCTTCCTGAAGTACTTGCATGGTTAAAAAACTTCAGAAAGAATGGCATTTATTTTTCAAGAGTTGTATGGACTGATCATGCCTAATGGACTGACTGCAGGCACACAGACTGTCCCGTTTGGAACATCGAGTGTCCATGAGCAGAAGGGATGCTGCTGGGTGTGTGTCTGAACATGGTATTTATAAGGACGGGGACAGGTAAAAGGAAGGGATCTTGGACGCTGCTGGAAAGGAGAAGCTCTGAGCTCAAGGATGCCGCAAATGGGCTTCTCTTAGGCAAGAGCCATTCTCAGAGCAGGTTGCTGTAAAAGCAAGCCACGCGTGGCTACTAAGTGTTACAGCCATATCAGATACGGTAGGTCGGGGTGGCTTTTGCTTCCAGCTGTCTTCCGCTACTCATCTGAGTCATCCGAAGTGTTTTCCTGACTGAGACACTGGATACTAGTCTTTAAATGACAAAGTTTCCTGCAATAGAATAAGCCCAGTGCTGAGGGAACTGGAGGAATCCGCGGTACTGGGAAAGGCATCCTTCCTGTGACAGCAATGACGCTGCGCTCGGCAGGTTGTGTGCTTTTACTCTTCCATGTAAACGGTTCTTTCGGCACCTGGTTTTGTACGGTCTGCAAGGATAAAGGCTTGCTTCTTCCTGTGCCCATTGTGAGATCTGTGGTCCTTACCTTACCCGTTACGTGTGGAAGGCACGCCCCACACAGAGATCACGAGCGCCAAGCAGTCTTTGAAAGATTTATCTTGCATGGAATCTCTGAGGAATAGCCCTGAAAATCAGTTTGGGGTTTTTTAAGAAAAAGAAGAATTAAGAGCAAGCTGTATACCTGGGGATCTCTGGATGTTTCTGCTGTATGAGAGCAATGAAGGATTTGCCGTTGTAGCGATCGCATTAGGAGCCATCGCTGCAGATGACGTCGTGAAATACGAAGTAGAACCTGATAGTTGATGATGTGGGTCTGAGTGGGAACAGCCCAAGGCTTGGATTTGCTGAACTGTCCCGTGGGAGCTCTGTTTCCCGCGAAGAAGGGGCAGGTTTCAGGGCAGCTGGTTTGTGGGGGGTCTAACAACAGAGGTTGTGGTGGAGGCGTTGGCTTCTTTCCCAAATGTGAGGCTGATTACAAATTCAGTTGTGAGCTGACACAGAGGGGAGAAAGAAAATGTTTATGGTAAAACCAGCTGGGTTGCCAGTCTGTGACTCGCTGTATTTGTTAAAGCGGGGGTCTAACAACAGAGGTTGTGGTGGAGGCGTTGGCTTCTTTCCCAAATGTGAGGCTGATTACAAATTCAGTTGTGAGCTGACACAGAGGGGAGAAAGAAAATGTTTATGGTAAAACCAGCTGGGTTGCCAGTCTGTGACTCGCTGTATTTGTTAAAGCTGTTCTGTACTGAAACTTGTGTTCCACGTTGTCAAAAGAACAAAGTTCAGGCAGGTATTGTTATTTTAAAAGAAATTATATGGCGCACACAGACAGGAGCGTGGAGAAGCCGTTTGTGATCACTTCAGCTACCACTCTGTGTAAGCCCTAGGGTGTTTGTGGCCTGCTGACCCGCGACGCGTTGAGCGCAGCTCCTCGGCCGTGCGGTGCGGCGCTGGCTGCCTCACCGCTGCTTTGCCGGGGGGCA